CAGCAACAATAATAATTTTTAGCGTGGCGTCGAGTTGAGATTACCTACGAACACCGCTACCAAGAAACACGTGCCAAGTAAATCAGAAGGCGAAGGTTGAACGTACCGAAATAAATCCATAAAATCCCCGAGAAGCCAAATATGGACCAAATCGAGATATATTCGCTGGCGATCTCGTGGCATCGAAAGGATACCGAGATCGTGGCAGGATACAAGCTTGGTTACAGAAAGTAACCGAATTCGCGCGAAGTTACAATCAAAGTGTAAGAATAAGAATGGAAGCACAATATAGCTGTCATTAGCACAGTCGAACAAAAGCACATTAAAACAAACACTGGTACAGTTGGTTATAATAATAATTGTTTTTATTAAACAAGTCGTGTTCTCGTGATAAATGTGAGTCACTACAAATTCATCTCGACACAAGAATGTTTTGACTATTGGAAATACAGAATCAGATAGCAAAGACCCAGATCTCTCAATACTTTAATTATTCGTTTTTCGTATGAAATTGAGTTCTCTCAATACAACTACAATTTTCACAATTAACGGCAAATCATGGATGTTCTTAGTAGTATTGGTGAACAGTTCAACCAGCATCTCTCTCAATGCTGAAATATAGAGACCGAAACCTCCATTAACATGTTTCCGATCATCTGTCTACGATCATTTTCACATCTATCAGTATCAAGTATGCTATTAAAACACTGAAACTGTTCGTGGTGATGAACCTGGTGGTATTTCTGTATCATTTGTAAGTTACAGAAGACGAACATTTTCACTATTTTGTGTAAAACAGTTCAGTCTATGCATGGATTATGTAGTCTCTTAATCTGATTGAAATATTTTGTTTATTACCGACAAATTGAAAACCAATTCACTAAGCGATATTGCTAACTATATACTCATCAATTTAGCCTTCATACTATCAGGAAGCATAGACAAAAATCATCCACAACTAGCCATTATCATTTTTACTTTTGAAAGTCTAATCAACTCTAATCAATGTGGGTTTGTAACAAAACGCTTATGTTCAACATCGTCCTTGGAATTTTCAGATAGAATTATCCAGTGAGAAGACATTGATCAACCGGTGATAATTCTTTACTTCAAAAGTATCTCAAGCAAACTACCAAAACGTTCTATTCAATTAAATTTCTTCTTTATCTGCCAGCATATAAATGGGGTTTCTTACTTTAAGGCATCCATCACTTCGTACTCTATCATATCGTCTCATGACCTGCATATTAAGGAAAATAATCTATAAATTTTTAAGCCTACACAAACTTACATAATAATTCCTTCATTGTTCTTTATTCATTCTTATGGAACAGACTTCAAGCAAGCCTCTACTGGAGTTTCATCAATAACTTCCTGTCTGAAAGTGGATTGTTTCATCTATTAAATATCAATAAGATTACGAATGATTTATACAAACAAGGTTTGATAACCCTTTAATTAACTGTAAAACAAAGTAGATTCTTAGACTTCTTTTCATATAAATATCTTAAGTTCATTTGTGTTTGTATTCAGTATTATTATCATTAACATGAATGATCTCTTCATATATCTAAGATACTTCCAGTCTATTGAAATTCCTAATTAAATTTCATAGTAACTCAGACAAGTTGACTTTTAGATTCATCTTGTTTTCATCAGGAAAATTGGATGATTTTTCTCTGTTTTTGATTGAAACTTCTGTAGTATCATTCTAAACTCTTATTATTTAAATTCTAATATCATATCTTAGTATAATGTGTAATACAGCTACTGTAGTAAACGAGGATACCAGTGGGGACAACAGAACGTACTCGACTACAAAGATCTGAAAACTATACAGTAAATTCTTTATTTGTAAAATATCAATCAGTTGTCTCATACTTCATTGTTCCATCGTTTACACACTAATCATTCTTTGTTGTCGTTCTCTTTTCGTTGATCTTATCAGCTAGAAACAATCATTATAGTTATTGAATTACATAGACATACCAGTTTTCCTCTTTTTTCATTTTATTCAAAGTAAATCTAATATTTTTTAAATATGGGGATTAGTGAGTAAACACTTTTTGGAATTCTTGTGTAGAATAGCAATTGATCTCTTCATAACATTTACATCTTATAAAGCTGTTTATGTATACTAACAAGAACAAATTACACCGACAAATTGAGACAGACATAAGAAGAATGAACAACAGTTGGGTAGAACTAGAAAGGAAGACCTAGAACGGAGTGAGTTGGAGAATACTAATCGGCAGCCTATGCTTCATTGGGAGTAACAGGCGTAAGTAAGTAAGTAAGCAACAATACTAGCAATTAGACTATATCTCCCAGTTTGTTTTAGATATGCAACATATTTCTGGAACAAAAATTGTAGTTGCAGTTGACTTGTATTGTATAGATTCGTTAAGTACTTTGCAAAGAATTAACTTTCTTAAACTCGTCCAGCTTAAAAAAGAAGATGCCGATCATAAGAACGAGTTATCGCCGACAACTCTAAACTATGGATTAGACAGACGGGAACAGGTAAGAAAACTACGCTGTGTATTGAGTGTTGTGTGATACATTTGTAGTGTGGAGTCGAGTAGCGGTTGACTATGCCCGAACTCCCAATTTTGGGGAACGTTGGGGAAATTTTGAGGTACTTTGGGGAAATTTTGCGGAAACATCCCACACGTTTGGAGAAATTATTGGGTTTTTGTGCCATTTCCCCAAAATTTACTATATCGGCTTCCCTAAAATTTCCGCAAAATGGGTCAACTTTTCCCCAAAATTGGCAGCTTGGGTGATCACCACTTTAGGAAGACTACGTGCCAGTTAACCGATATGATCACCTGCAAGCCAACAATCAGAAGGCAGTTGATGGCCGTAGTCGAGATGTATTTGTTGACGACCTCGTGGTATCGAAACAATACCGAGATCGTTCCAGGATACAACTGTGGTTACTGAGCGTAACCGAATTCGTGCAAGGTCACAATCAACGGAAGAATGTATGTGATTTGGCACAGTTAAACAAACAAGTACGGTAAAACAATCCCTGGTACAATAATTTATAATAATAATCTTTTCCATTACACCAATCGCTTTCTCTTGATAAAAGTAAGTCACTACATATTTACAAGGGGGATCGTCAAATCGTGTCTAGATAATGTTGTCGTAATGTCTTCAATATACTACGGAATTGTTTGCATTCAGGAATTTCAGCAACCATTAGACTCATAGAAGAACGATTTTGCTGACAGGCAATTTTATTTGAACAAAATAACACTGAAAACAGAATATCAAGCAACTCTATTGTAGTGAAATAATTTCAGGACTACATCAGATGACTGGTCTAATCAGCATTGTATTTAAATGAATACAAAATGTACAGTGTTAATCAGTCAACGAGTCTCGAGTATTCTTACATAAATATGGTAATGGAATATGATTAACAGGTAAACAGACCCACCTAGACGAATTGAAAGCCCTGGCTTCACATGAATAGTGCCCATGAGATTCAGAATTTTGTATGAATGAATGTGATAAGAAATTATACTAACTACTGACTGTCACGAGATCGCACCTGTTCCACCGTGAATTAAACTTTTAAACCAAGAGTTAGTGAAGTGACTTCCTGTTGGAATGTTACGTCCTTGATCTATCTGCCCAATAATGTATATGAGAAAACGTGTTTCGACCTAGAATAAGGCCTTGACACGATAGGCTAACTGGTTCAACTTTCAGACTAGAAATGCATGCATGCACAATTAAAAAGAATATAATTATGTCTAAACTGGGCGTCAACGTAGAAAAATAGGGTGCTTTAGGTTATCCTTAAGTTATAATAGCTTTCAAATAGAAAAGAGTATGGCAGTGAACCATGCATCAAACGAAAGTTTATGGTTTATAGAATAACCCAGGGACAAAACTGAATGTTAGTACTTTAAAAACTTTGGATCCAGTGCAATAATTTTTCCTGAAAATAGCTCCTAATGTTTGTCGTGGCTTCTTTATTTCTCTGCTCACATAATCCTCCTAGAGGAAAAAAAGGTTATAAGTAAGGAAAACTGACTAGTATTGTGATCCTTGCAAAACGTGACTAATCTGGTTCAATGGAATAAATATAAGAAGAACTAACGATTAGTCACCAGTTAAAAGCAATAGTTATGACAAGGTCATTGATATTTTCACCTAGAACGCTGTATCCTCGCTTTTCTGGATCAACATGGAAAAAGTCTGATCTTCTGTGTTTTCGCGACGATCTTCTTATAGGATTCTGTTCTGGATTTCAGGCATTTTAAGTCACTGGATTCACCTATCGAAACTGTCAGCCCAGTTTCTCAATATTCTGTGACACACCGGAATTTTCCAGTATATGGTTGATATGGTGCACCTCATTTCGACCTTCAACTTCCACCATATATATTACTTCCTGTCATCTCGAGTGTGCGTTCACTGTGTAGGCGAGTATCGGAAATCAGAGACGTATACATCCTGACTGCCTGAAATATTTCGCGCTTTGCTCCATGATGGTGAATAAATTGAATCTCTGTCTTTTGATTCCTTCCTCCTACTCCTTGTTGCTTTGATTTTAATGACAAAATTACTTTTGTAAACATACAGCAGCCCAACTTGTGTTGGAATACAGCTGCATACTTTTATCGAAAGCATGTCACGTGTGGTTTCGTCGGCATTTGAGAGGAACCAGAGGATGCTGATGTGGAAATAACATAACGGCATAATGCAGGAGATTTGGAAATTTTATGTGAACAAATTACCTCGGGGGTGATTGATTTGAATATATTGCAAGGAGATATTACACTGGAGGCTTTCGACCCAGAAATATTATGAGAACACGTTAGACTGGGAGGATTTGATTTAAAATTATTATGAAAAGTTTGAACAGTTTGATTGGAAGGTTTATGAGAAAATACTTTATTTTGTAGCGTGGCGTCGAGTTGAGATTAACTGTGAACACCGCTACCAAGAAACACGTGCCAGATAAATCAGAAGGCGAGGATCGAACGTAACCAGATTTATTTCGTTGGCGATCTCGTGGTATTGAACGAATACCGAGATCGTGCCAAGAAATGGTACAAGTGAAAGCAGAAGACAGGAGTACGTGCGAACAGTACCAAAAACCACGGGACAATCATCGAAGGTAATGGAAGCACAAACTGGCTATAATTAGCACAGTTAAACAAAAGCACATTAAAACAAACACTGGTACAGTTGGTTATAATAATAATTGTTTTTATTAAACCAGTCGTGTTCTCGTGATAAACGTGAGTCACTACAGGAGCCCCCCGCTAGAAAGAGTTTACACTTTCGATAAATAGCGGTTTGAATCGTGGGACTGATCGGCTGACGAGCGATTGTAGGACGGAAGATTTGGCGAACAGGAAAGCGATCGTTGATCGTCGAGTTGCCAACGAAGGTCGTTTTCGGAGAACGGTACCAGGAGCGATGTGTTGTATTTATTGCTTGAGTTGGCATGCTACACCTGAGTGGTTTGTATCCAGAATCTGAAGAGGGAGTTCGTAGGGGTCCGGACCAGAAACGCTGCAGACGTAGGACGAAACCACGTTGAGCCAAAAGACCAGAAGCGACCGTAACGACCATGTTCGAGACCAAGCGTATGCCAAGCACTCGAAACCAATATATCGAATGAGTGCGTTGACAAGAGCATGTGTAATCAGGCCAGCTTTCGCCAAAGTTGACTGAAGTTGACGGAACCAAACGGAGATGGTCGAAGGAGTGGGCTCAGGAAACAAAAAGAAAATCGAAAAAGAAGAGTGTAGCATGCGTGTAGTATAGGAATAATCCTAAACCGTATCGGTTGTTGACTGTGCGACTATTCGCGGAAGCGTACAGGTAACCGTACTCGGCGACCGGAACGTGAGACGGCAGTCTCGTTCGCGTCGCGTGAGCCTGCAATCTCATCCGAAGTCAAGGGCGGCGTGGTCTGCTGATCTGGACGTGAGACTGTCGTCTCATCCGTAGACAGTGCAGATGACGCGTGCTGTTGACCGGGACGTGAGAATGAGGTCTCAGATGTATCTAGCGTAGGACCTGAAGATGGTTTGAGGATCCCGCTAGTAGGTTTGCTAGGTCTAGCATTGAATCTCAGGTTGTGGTGTGAAGAATTCCCCGGGCAGACGCAATGTCGTGCCGTATACAAGTTCAGCGGCGGAACATTGGATATCTGCCTTTAAACTCGTTCTGATACCTAAAAGGACGAGCGGTAAGGTTTCGTACCAGTCGTCGTTTTCGTGTGCTCGAAGAGCACTTTTAAGTTGACGGTGAAACCTTTCAACTAAACCGTTTGGAGCTGGATGGTAGGCGGTAGTGCGTATGCGTTCCGTACCAAGCAGCCGAGTAAGTGAGGAGAATAGTGCGGACCCAAATTGTTGTCCTCGGTCAGTCGTGACAGTCGAGGGACAACCGTATAGAGCTATCCATCGTTCTACGAAGCGGTGAGCAACTGTCTCCGCCGTGATAGACGTGATGGGTATAGCTTCGGGCCATCTGGTGAAGCGGTCGATGCACGTGAGTATGTGATCATACCCGTGCGATGGTGGCAGTGGTCCTACAATGTCTAAGTGAACGTGATCGAAGCGAGCATCAGGCGTAGCGAATGTACCGAGGGGGGCTGCTACGTGCCTGTGCACTTTTGATCGTTGACATTGTAAGCATTGCTTAGCCCATATACGAACATCTTTATTCATGGACGGCCAGACGTATCGTGCAGCGATGAGGCGTAAAGTAGCTGCGATACCTGGGTGAGATAATCCATGCAGGGCATCGAAAACGAGACGGCGATAAGCAGAGGGTACGATGGGTCGAGGAAGACCGGTAGAAATATCACATAGAATGGTGCCAGAAGTCGTGGCTAGAGGTACTTCCTGATACTGAAGGGACGTAGAGTGTGGTGCTTTTGTACAACTGGGATCGTTTGCTTGGGCAGCGGCCATAGCAGGAAGATCGAGCACCGGCAGGGTAACTGCATTCATTTGGATTCGTGATAAAGCATCGGCAACACAGTTCGACTTGCCTTGGATGTGACGAAGGTCTGTCGTGAACTGGGAGATATAGTCCAAATGTCTGCACTCTCGTGGTGAGTAGCGGTCAGACTTGGTATGCAAAGCATACGTTAAGGGCTTATGGTCGGTGAATAAGATGAATCGACGTCCTTCTACTGCGTGCCGAAAATGTTTGATGGCGCAGTAGGCTGCTAGCAGCTCGCGACCAAAAGCGCTATATCTCGCCTCTGTGGTAGTAAGGCGTCGTGAGAAAAACTCGAGAGGTTGCCAACTACCGGAGATGTTTTGTTGCATGACTGCTCCGATAGCAACATCGGATGCATCAACCGCTATACTAAGCGTGGCTGATGGATCGGGATGGGCGAGAAGAGTGGCTTGCGCAAGAGCCGTTTTGATTTCAGTGAATGCAGTACGTGCAGAATCGTTCATTTCTAATCTGCGTGGGTTGCCGCGTAGTAAGTCGGTTAGTGGTCGTAACCGTTCTGCCGCGTGTGGGATGAAACGACGGTAGAAGTTAACCAAACCGAGAAAAGCCTTCAGTTCCTTGAGTGACAACGGCACGTTGTACTCCTTTATTGCTTGCACTTTGTCCTCACAAGGTAGAATACCCTCTCGCTTGATAACATGACCCAGAAATATTATTTCTCGTCTACCTAACTCGCATTTGTCTGGGTTAACTACTATTCCATTATCCGAAAGGCGTTGGAATAATAGCGTAAGATGTTGATAATGTTCATCTACGTTTGATGATGCGATTAGCAGGTCATCAATATAGACGTGAACAAAATCGAGGTCTCGTACAATGCTATCGATAAACCTTTGAAAAGTTTGAGCAGCATTCCGTAATCCAAATGGCATTCGTAGGAACTCAAACAAACCGAAAGGAGTCGTGATAGCGGTCTTTTCGATATCTTCAAGAGAGACTGGGATCTGATGATATGCTCGTACCAGATCGATCTTAGAAAAGATAGTCGTGCCCTTGAGCGATGCCGTGATGTCGTGTATGTGGGGGATGGGGTAGCTATCAAAGCGCGTAACTACGTTTAGAGCTCGGTGATGGCCGCATGGTCTCCAACTAACCCCATCTTTTTTGCGCACCATGTGTAGAGGAGAGGCCCATGGACTGTGAGAAGGACGAATAATACCAGTAGCTAGTAAATCGTCAAACTCACGCTTAGCAAAAGCTAATTTGTCCGGTGCCAGTCGGCGAGGTCGTGCCGTGACTGGCGGTCCGCGGGTGACTAGGTGGTGTACCACACGATTGGTCACCGATGGAAGCTCCTCGAGTGGTTTAGTGAGTACGGGGAATTTCTCGAATAAAGCGTTGAATTTATCGTCACGCGAGTAAAAAGTGCCGAGGATTCGGTACGCGTTCATGTGGGCTTTACAGCCCATGAATTTGCTGTTCGACGAAGTATCGATTAGCTGCAGCCTACGTGAATCGACAAGCAATTCATAGTGCTGTAGAAAATCGATACCTAGTATGGCTGTGGGAACATCAGCAATGATGAACGTCCACAGATACCGTCGTCGGTTGCCCAGGTTGACCGCGAGTTGTCGTGTACCGTAGGTAGGAATGACTGAGCCATTCGCAGCGCGTAGTCGAAGCACTGTGGCTTGTGACTTGCTGCTACCTCGTGGTACGACAGAAACTTGGGCCCCAGTGTCTACTAGGAACCTAGCGTTTGTGCGATAATCGTGCACATAGAATAAGCGACCAACCTGGAGAGAAGGGCCGGCGAGTACGGCCGCTTTTACTTGCGCTGGCGTTTCCCGCCTTGTATGAGCATGGGGCTCGACAACGGCGGGCGCCAGACCCGAAGGACCTATGGAACCAGCACCAACTGTCGCTCGCTTTCGTAGCCGCCTTTCGGCGTGGCTTGGAAGATGCTCTTTTTGGGCGAGTGGTGACGGGTTTGCGAGAACTTGAGCGAGCTCGGGGGACGTAGGGTTGGGGTACGTTACAACGGTCTCGAAAACTAAGACGTGTGTGGATACACCCGTCCCTGTCACCATGAGCTGAGGAATGACCGGCGTCCATGTCTACTTTAGGACGTGCCGTCGAAGCAACTACATAGGTGTCTCTATTACTAGTCCTCGCCAAAATTTTGTCTGCTATGAGGGCTACCTGCTTAAGCGGTGAGTCCTCGAGCAGTGCCGTCACAGTAGGTTGGATATGGGCTGGTAGTGACTCGAGCCATAATTCCTTAACTATCTCCGAGTCAGATGCTGTTGGTCCTGCAAGAGATTGCAGGCGCGTGAGGTGATGGCTTGGTTTAGCATCACCCAGGGGGTGACGTGCTAACAGGGTCCTCAATCGTTCCTCCCTCGATGGGAGGAAATGTCGGAGAATTGCCTCCTTGAGGCGGTCATAAACATTAGGCACGTTAGAATTGAGGACAACCTCACGAACAGCTACTAAATGGTCCCCGGGTAACGATTCGAGAGCGTAGGCATATTTTTGCCTTTGGCTCGTGATCCGACGAGTCTCGAACTGAGACTCTAATGCAGCAAACCAGACTTCAGGGTCGTGGGGGATAAATGATACAGGTCGAAAGTGAATGGCCTGTACGTCTGAGTCTATAACATTGATAGTATTCTTGTCGCTATCCGTCATGTCGTGTATATTATATATTAAAAATTAATATGAAAATATACGACAGACGTGGATAGATAAATAATAGACTCACCAAATTGGCTTCTTTGGAAGATTTGACCCGAGGTTGAGGCGTGTTCCAAACTTTGGGATCACGAATTGTAGCGTGGCGTCGAGTTGAGATTAACTGTGAACACCGCTACCAAGAAACACGTGCCAGATAAATCAGAAGGCGAGGATCGAACGTAACCAGATTTATTTCGTTGGCGATCTCGTGGTATTGAACGAATACCGAGATCGTGCCAAGAAATGGTACAAGTGAAAGCAGAAGACAGGAGTACGTGCGAACAGTACCAAAAACCACGGGACAATCATCGAAGGTAATGGAAGCACAAACTGGCTATAATTAGCACAGTTAAACAAAAGCACATTAAAACAAACACTGGTACAGTTGGTTATAATAATAATTGTTTTTATTAAACCAGTCGTGTTCTCGTGATAAACGTGAGTCACTACAATTTAATAAAGTTTTCAGGCTATAAATCTTCTCGATCCAGTCTAAGCCTAATAAATCCAAATGATGCCGAATCGTCAAATGACAAACGCCATCAAATTTGTTTTCTATAAACTGGACTTGGCACTTATTTTTTCATGTTAACTTCACTACATCCCCAGAAGCATTCCGGTTAACGTGATCGATTGGTTTAATGCGTGGATATCTTGGCTGACGCCACGTGTTTTTGGTAATCCATGAAATGTAAACTGTATCTAACTGAAAACAAGTAGATTAAATGTTTAAATGACCGTCATATTCTCTTCTATTGCAAAACTGTTGTGATCTAAACATGACATTTGTGTCTTATTTTCTCATATTCTAGATTGGACATGATAGAAGGTTGTGAGCTTGTCTGTCATATATTTGTTCATATGCCTTTTTTAACCAATTTAAATGAGGAATAAATCGAATAAACAGTGGTCTTCTTTCTCCGCTTACCAATCAATCACGTCATAGGTCAGGTAGGATAGTTTACTTCTCTTGCCTCAAGGTCGTTCAGTCAATACTAATCGAACTTATGCATTGCAAACGTCAAACCTGTAACTAAGCGACTCTTCATATCAAAGACGTCAACCAGATCGAAACAATTCTGTTTTCCTGTACAGAATGATCAGAAAAATAAGTTTGCGTAAGTAAAATTTACGGACTCATAAGTGATTGTTTAAGTGTTTCAGTAGATAGAGTTTGTGAATTAGGTATTTGAGGCTTGAATACCAAATAGGAAGTTACAGATATGCACAACCACTCAATCACTATGTGAATAAAAAATGATTTTTACTTTCGGACAGTCAAGAAACTCTATGGTAGGATTCTCATTCGGAAAAAAGCTATGTAAGGGTTTAGACATTGATGAATCACTGTTATAACGTTTCCCTCATACTTATTTATTTACATGAGAGGAGTATAGAGAATGAGTACCACTTCAAAGCAGTGTAGTGATCTACTTTTATGAAGACAACGCGGTTGGTGTAATGAAAGTATTTATTATTATAACTAACTGTACCAGTGATTGTTTTACTGTAACATTTTGTTTAATTATCCAGAAAACACACTTTTCCGTTGTTTGTGACCTTGAGCTTACTCACGTACGCACGTTAGTCTCCCCTGTAAACTTTGACACGAAATCGGCATTATTTTAATACCACGAGATTACCAGTGAATATATCCTGACTACAATCTACAACTATCCTTCTAATAATTATATTAAGGAGGTATTTCACCTGATAATTGGCACGTAATCAATCTGTAGTGGTGATCTTAGTCGACTGCAACTAAACATCACCATAACAGTATTTTACGACACAAACTAAATCTTAAACTACATATCGTATGATATAAGCATAAGTGTTTAATTTAATATACCTTTTGTCTTTTTTCTTAATATCAGATGGGTTTTTGTGGAGATTGTAGTAATTTCAATGGTTAAGATCATGAGTCAGTTGAAGCTAGACCACCATGGAAAACCTGGAAGCACTGGACGGCCGTTTCGTCCTATTGTGGGACTCCTCAGCAGTGCGCATCCACGACCTCGCCCCCTGCGAGATTCGAACCCAGGACCTACTGGTTTCGCACCCGAGCACTTAACCACTAGACCACTGAGCCGGCATCCAACGGTGTTAATGTCTAACTTCAACTAATCCACGAAATTGAGCGACACATTTTTTCTTAATCTCTACTAAGATCAAGTAACAGTCTATTTGTTATGTTGTACAGAAGTGTTCAGATATGCATGTGACAGATTAAATTTCATAAATATTTAAGAAGTTACATTGTAGTTAACTGCGATATTAGTTACCATAGAAATAATACCATCACAAAGTAGATCATTTACTTTTACATGAATATATCTAATCAATTGTTCATGAATGAAATTAATTAATTGTGAAGTGTGAACTTGTAGTTAGTTGGTTAATGTAGACAGTCATCCTCTGCGTGATCATTGATGAAATGAACAATGTTAAATGATAGGTCATGGTATACAGTAAAATTATTCGTGCATTATGCTATAACATCTATCTGATTATTTGTTGTTATAATTTTTTTAAAAATATACATATATTCAAGGTTAGTCTATTTTAACGTTAGCTAAACTGAATACAAAGAACTAAATAATCAACTTTTTCTGAAAATGTATAGTCAGAAAGTATATAATACTGGTTTGGTGAGGACGCTGATAAAACGCAGAGTCTTTTGGTAGCACTGAGCAACAATGCCAGTAGTTGAACTCGTTGACGACTTCGCTTAACTTGGTAGTTTGATCAGTCCTAATGAGTTGGTGTCTGACGAAATCTCTGCATGGATTGAAAAAGTTCGTTTGGCTATCGTCAACTTAAGTCAACTATGGCGAAGGCGAGATATCTGTCTATCAATTAAGAGACGAGTATACTGCGCGGCAGTCCGTTCTGTTCTACTTTACCGCTGCGAAACGTGGCCATTAAGAGTAGATATTCATAAGCTGCTAGCAATTGATCACAGGTGCCTTAGAAATATTGCTCACATCAGCTGGGATCACCGGGTAAGTAATAATGAGGTTAGATGCAGGGTATTAGGGAATGATGGCAAATCAGTTGATGAGGTTGTGAATCTTCATCGACTGAGATGTTTGAGCCATGTGCCTGAACACCAATTACCACGACGCGCAATTCTGACTAGTGTTGGAGATGATTGGAAGTTAGGGGTGGACAAACCAAAATGTGGCATCAAAGCTTGAATTCATTAACGTCTAGCGTGAGCCATGTTGGTAGATACAGACTACTTGATTCGGGTCCGCATGACTATCGTAACCAATAGTTGGAAACTCTAGGTGATATGGCTCAGAATCAATCACAATGACGTCGATGTGTATACTCTCTGGCTTTTCTTAAACCAAGAGACTAAAATCGCTTTATATCTTTTTTTCTACCAACTAATTCTTTCTGCCTGTACTATGTCCTTGTAGTCAATCTTTCTTTTATATATTTCCACCACCGGATTAACTACTATGAATCCGGTGTTCATCTTTTTGTGCAAATGAGGTATGGCAACTTCGACCGAGGCATATATGTGCTTGGTCCTACTTTGTAGCTAACTGACTGATATAACAGCTAAATAATGACAATTACAATAGTAAGTCCACTAAATGTCATTTCAATGGACCAGATTTCTATGAACAACCGGTATACAAGATCATAAAAATCTGATTGGATGAAACTCATTACATATCGATTTGAGTTACATAACATATTGTAACCATCTAGAAGATTTAAAGATACTACCCTCCCCTACACAATATACATGAAGTTACATCATTGAAAATTATTAAAACTTCATCTTGAGAATTGCAACTACAATTAGTCTATGTCGAATATTAAAAGAATCAAACGGATGAACTATATATATATACTTTTTCTTATTTAATCACGGTTGATTTAATCTTATGAGATTAGTTTCCAAGTGTCAGAAGCAAAAAGAAAAACAAGTACATCACCTGGATATTAGGAAATGATCAGATGTATACACGCAAACAGTCTGGAAAAAGGAAATACATATTAAGAAGAAAGGGTCATCCAATGCTTCCAAGTTTTTCAACAATGATCCAGCTTCAATTGACTCACTACAATAATATCCACAAAACCTCTCTCTGATTAAAATCTTACTAGTTAGAATTCATGAGTTGATGTCAGTTAAACTATCATGAAAAACTTGTAAGAATCGAATAGTTGGTTTATCCTAGTATAAGGACTTCTCAGAGTGAGACTGATAACTCCTGCAATTGAATATCGTGAAGTGGGATCCTAGATATCCACTGTTGAGGAGTCCCATATTAGGATAAAACAACCATCCAGTACGTTCAAGTTTATCATGATGAATGTAGCTTCAATGGATTCATCAATTCAACTATTGAAATGATTACAATCTAAACAAAACCTCTTCATCACCAATGATAAAAACAACACTATTATTATTCATCACTAAACAAATCTTTAATCGAACTTAAAAATGAGATCAACAGAAAATAAGATCATTCTGATCAAATTATTTTTAAGTAGAATAAATGAAAAACAACAACAAGAAAAGAAAAAAGTATCGCATATCATTATAATCGAATAATCAACAAACAGCACTACATACATTCCTTCTTTTAATGATTAAATAATCCAAATTGAAATGATAATAGAGTATTTATTAATTGAAATGAAGATCATAATTAACCATTAAACAAAATCATAAAGCGTTTTTATTTATTTATTTATTTATTTATTTAAGACTAAAAGTATAAATAGCAAAATATATCTAAATATAAACTTTTTTCTTTTTTTTCTTAGGGGAAAAAAAACAAACAAAAAAAAGAGAGAATAATGTTTGGTTTTTCTTAATTACATCAAATTGGGTAAATAAAAAAAAGATGCAAAGATAAAGAAAAAAAATAGAAATGTAATTTGTCAACGGAAATAATCAATATTTTTTCTTTATTTTTTCATCAAAGAAAAGAAAAAAAGAGATAGGTGGGGGGTGAGGGGTTGCGGATGGGTGGGGGTGCTTAAAGAAATATGATTTGAAACGATGTAAAAAAAATATTTTTTTTGTTTGGTTAATGTGATATAAATTGAAATTCATAAAATGCTATTAATAGCATTATACAGAAACCTAAAAGGATACCAAAATTTTGCCATATAAATAAAACACTCGGTTGATGACAACGTCGATTACCTTTAAGTTGATTAGCCGATAATTCTGGCATCTGAGAAATAAAAAACAAAAAAAACAACAAATAAACATAAACAAAAGTATTATATACACTGATTAGTTGAAATGATTTTTAAAGTAATGATAATGAGTGCTAAAATGATGGATGTAAGAACTTATCTATATTTAGTCAAACAGTTAGTTACAACATAGGACCTGGTATATATATACATCGGTCCGAGTTGCCATATCTCATTAGACTTATCTATATTATCATGAGCCAATTGAAGCTAGACCATCATGAAAAATCTGGAAGCACTGGACGGCCGTTTCGCCCTAGTATGGAATTCCTCAGCAGTGAGCATCCACGATCCCGCCCCATGCGAGATTCGAACCCAGGACCTATCAATCTCGTGCGCGAGCGCTTAATCATTAGACCACTGAGCTGGCATCCAACGGTGTTAATGTCTAACTTCAACAAAACCACAAAGTTGCACCGCCGCATATCATTGTCCACAGTGAGTTGATATCACACAACAGAGCTGGTTGAACTCCATTGGTCACGGTTTCTCACTAGAACTCCAGGTTTTCCATGGTGGTCTAGCTTCCATTGACTCATGATTTCAACTATTGAAATTCCTAAAAATCTTTACAAAACCCATTCTGATAATTTTCTATATTAGTCAGTGATGGATACAATAAGTAATAAAAAGCTGGTAGCATGCTCTATGTTGCTAAGCGCAAAACATGAGAACAAAAAGTACTTAAATAGAGGTTAGTTAGACAATTAATAAAGTACAGATTATCCCTAACTAGTAGTGTATTATTGATATATAATAATGAAAGTAAAATATGATTGGTCACTGAGAATGGATAAACAAGCATTTAGCTCACTAACAATGATAGCTTGTAATTATATGGAAAAAAGCACTATCTAGTGTTAATTTAGTTCTTTATTCTAGGTCGTAAACCCTGTTACTAATATAACGTGACCGCTTTCGAGATTAGATGGTGGTTGGAGGTAGTCAACAGGAAACCCTAGACCCGGGTTTCGTGCTACTTGGCACTCGTCAGCAAGGTGTACCTGTAATCTTGAGGGAACTGGTGCTCCCTGGCGGATTCGATCTCGTGTCACCCAGCTTCACAGTCAGAGACGTTACCACTGAGCTATCCGAGCCGTGACTAACCTCCTGTAGGACTGAGATGTAATCACAATTGATTGATCACTGGGTGGTGATCAATCTCATGCTTGTCTAGTCCTTATTAGTGCACCTTGCTGACGAGTGCCAAGTAGCACGAAACCCGGGTCCAGGGTTTCCTGTTGACTACCTCCAACCACCATCTAATCTCAATACATAGTGCCCGCAGTGTCGAGTCACCTAGACTGGTGGCCACATTGCAACATGATCGATAGCATTCGATCTGCACTAATAAGGACTAGACAAGCATGAGATTGATCACCACCCAGTGATCAATCAATTGTGACCGCTTTCATTATCGTATTCAACGCATAATGATAGTATATCTGAAAGGGAAAAATACTCCAAGCCATATTTTACAAGTATAGAACATTATTTGGTCCTCCGTAAAGACGATGCCAAAAATTCAATGATAATCTTTATAGTCTAATAATACATGGTCAGTCAGACAGTCAGTCAGTAACAACGTAGAACTTCGTACGTATGTACATCAGTTCGAGTTGCCATACCACATTAGCACAGAGATGCAGTTGTCGATTCGAATCCCGTAGTGGTAGAGGTAGTAAAAGTACAAGCGGTAATCGGAAACATTAGGGTCTGAAAATCTTATTCAAGGAGTATTATCCAGTAAAATAAATTTGGAAAGAAAAAGAAAGGGACATGAAGAATTCAGAAGATTAGAATTTGGGAGAACACAAAGAGTGGATGCACCTGCGCACACCATTGCAAACGATTTTGAGCCAAGTCATTCAGGGTCTCTAACCATCGGTTGCTATCATCTCGCATTCCCCAACCAGGTAGTCTACACCTACCAACATGACTCAGTCTACTTGTCAGTGACTTCATGGACTTGTGCCATGTTTTGGTTTGACCGCCCCTACCTTTCTTCCAACCTACTCCTATACCACTGAACATCGCACGTCGAGGTAGTCGGTCGTTGGGCATACGTAACACGTGTCCCAGCCATCTCAACTGATGAAATTTCACTGCTTCATCAATTGATTTGCCATCCTTGCCTAGTACCCGTTTCCTAACAACTGTGTTACTTACTCGATGGTCCCATGATATACGAGCAATATTTCGAAGACAACTATGATCGAATACTAGTAACCTACGAATATCCTCTACTCTTACCGGCCATGTTTCACTGCTATAAAGTAGGACGGAACGAACTGCTGCGCAGTAAACACGTCCATTGGTTGATAGACGGATATCTCGCCTACGCCATAAATGACGCAAGTTGGTAAAAGCTAGTTGAGCCTTCTGTATCCGTGCTGAGATTTCGTCACACACCAGACCACAAGGGCTGATGAGACTTCCAAGATAAGTGAAGCGGTCGACACACTCAACTACTTCACTCCCTATCATTAGTTCGGGTGTCGATGTAACCCAATCCTGAAGCAACATTTTGCATTTCGAGGGAGAGAATCGCATCCCGAACATGCTTGCATTGTTGCTTAGAGTGGTCAGAAGACTCTGCATTTTGTCAGCGTCTTCACCAAATAAAACTATGTCATCTGCATATTCTAAGTCAACAAGTGAACCTCCTGGTAGAAGTTCAACCCCTGGAAATTTAGATGAGGAGAGTGTTATCTCTAAAAGTACGTCGACGACAAAGTTGAACAAGAATGGTGAGAGTGGACAGCCCTGACGAACACCACTTGAGGTAATCAATTCTGATGACAGTTCGCCATAAGCTCTCACTCTACCAGTTGTGTTCGAGTAGAGAGCCTTCAAAAGGTTAATGTACTTCTTTGGTACTCCTTTCAGTGACAAACACTGCCATAGAACCTCACGATCAATAGAGTCGAATGCCGCCTTAAGGTCGAGAAATACTACCATTGTGGGGCGTCTGAATGTGTGTCTGTGTTCTAGAACCTGACGTAGTGTGAATATCTGATCTATACAACCACGTCCAGGTCGAAAACCAGCCTGGTTTTCTCTAATCTGCTCTTCATGAGCTTTGATTAGGCGTCGAAGTATTATTGAGGCTAATATTTTAGACACTATATTAGTCAAACTGATTCCTCTGTGATTCCCACAGGAGGACTTTTGTCCTTTCTTATAGACTGGCACAATCAGTGATTGAGACCAGTCAGATGGGATTACGTCCAGTTCCCAAATTCTACCTAAGACCTCGGTTAATCTCATTGCTAATACTGGACCACCATCCCTAAAAATCTCAGGAGTGAACCTGTCAGGGTCTGCCGCTCTCCCTCGCTTCAGATTTCCGATAGCTTTTTCAACTTCGTAAAGAGACGGAGGACCTACATTAACTTGCTATTCAGGTTGACTGGAGATCGTGGAAAACCGAAGTGTGGCTGAAGGCCAGTTGAACTGATCCCTAAAGTGTTCTGCCCATCGATCCAATCTCCTGGACTGAGAATGAATAATATGTCCATGTTTCTCTGAGATTGTTTCGCTAACGGTCGGTTTCCTAATACTGGTTTCCTTAACGAGTCTGAACAATTGTCTGCTATTACCTATTGCCGCTGCCTTTTCCATCTCTCTTGCTTTCGCTACCCACCACTGTTCACGATCATTGCGTAGACTTCTTGTCAGCTTGCGCTTAAGCTGACTCCGCTCTTCATTATGTTCAGAGCCAGGTGGAATGAGTGCGATAGATGCTGCTGAGATTCAGTGTTTCTCCCTAGCTTTGTGGTTTGCCGTACTAGCAGATATCACTGCGGTTTCTACAGCTTTTCGGATATCATTCCATGCTGCCTCGGGGTGGGCGTCACATACATGGCTGCCCAACTGTTTTTCTAATTGTTCCTGAAGTATACTCTTAACTTGACTATCATTAAGTAGGCCCCTAAGAGGTTTTCTTTGCAGCGTCTTTCCTACGTCCAGTAAGACGCAAGCAAATACGCGCTCGCACTAGAGCATGATCTGAATCTAGGCATGTGCTCCAGAATGAGCGACAGTCTTCTATCGAGCCCCTCCATAGGTGGCTGATAGCGATGTGATCTATTTGGGTCCAACGTTGGGACGAATTAGGGGGTCGCCATGTTAAAAGATGTTTTTCCTTATGCTTAAAGTTAGTATTTGCAAGGAACAGGCGGTTATCTGAGCATAGCTGCAACAGACGGTCGCCATTATCTGTTCTTTGAGCCATGACACCATAAGATCCACCTAGGTGTCTTTCCCTTTCGCTTAGTTTACCTACTTGAGTATTAAAGTCACCGGCCACTATTACTACATCAGAGCGCCTAGCTTTTCGGATAAGGTCCGAAAGCTTTCTGTAAAACTCATCTTTTACATCATCTGAGCTGCAGTCAGTGGGAGAATAGGCAGAGACGACGAAGAGCCAACGATGAGTGTCCCTATCTTTCCGGATTCTTACTGTTCCGTTCAGTCGGACAGCGCACAAACGACTGTCTACTGGGATCCACTCTAAGAGAGCTAGTTCTGCCCTAGGACTCAATGCTATACCTACGCCGGCGAGGCCACGGGAAGCATAATCAAGGCTTCCAGATACACGAAGCGTAAATCGAGTCGGTTCTTTATTTTGGCATGGTGAGGTCAAATGAATGACGCTACTTGGATCCTGTATGCGCGTTTCCGAGACGCAGCACACATCGATGGCGCGAGATTCTAAAGTCCTAGCTAAGGAAGCCTGCTGTCCTATTTGGCAAAGTGTTCGTACGTTAAAAGCTCCTACATGTAGTTTAGAGCGTGGTTTCAGGAGACCAGGAATGGCGTTCCACATACTCGAATCGTTTGCCCTAGCGGTGCGAGGTGATAAAGAGACATGAGGAGGGTTAGTCGGGAGGATAAGAGAGGTATTAGGAGGTGTAGGAAGGATTTGAATGTGAACACCTTGGTCTCTTGTGCTGTTACGGGTATGAGGGCTGATGTCACTTGCGGCTGCCCACACCGTGGAAGGGTATTTCTTGAGGAACCTGAAAAGGAAATTGGATTAGTGTTGGTCTTAACGACCTGGGAGCGTGACCGCAGAGCCCAAGGGACAACTGCTTGAGGCTGGTCGCGCACGGCCTTTTCGTGGAAGGTTTTTGACGTGTTAGCTCCGTTCTTCAAGGGGCCTTACCGCCGGAGACGGAAATCCGTGAGGTAAGGTGAGGTGTGACATTTTTAGGGTCGACCTTTTCTAACCCCACCCCTCCTTGTGGGAAGGCAGCATCGCTGTCATGCTGGTTGTCCGAGGGAAACACCTTACTGCTGTCACACCTCTCTACAGTCAGCAGTACGACTTCGCCCTCAGAGCTTGAGTTGCTGCTTTTAGTCTTACCGTTCACCAATCGACCTGCCTGGCATAGTAGAACCTACAGGAACATATGTTCTAGCCAATATAGCTCGGTTGGGTCATCACGATAGGCAAGCCCGACCACCGCGTCAAGGTAGCAGCTTCGGTCGGGCTTAACTATATATTTAGCCAGCTCAGTAGGCTGAAACTAAGGACAAAATATAAATCCATTTTATTGAAGAAAAAAACTAATTGGAATAACGAAGTGTTGACTGAACAATAAAACCAAAAACTAGGATATTCTAAGCATAATCCTCTTCTTATTGACTTACGTTTACAGTTATAAACTTACAATACATACAAATTAACATTTCATTATGAATTCAGTGAGGTTGCCAACCTCATTCCCAACCCACCTTCTTCACTCGGGCTTGGGACTGGCAGTAACCCTAGAAGAACTACAGGTGAAGTGCAGACAAGAACTGTAAAAGTAAGGGCAGGATTACTACAGTTTAAAAACATATGGGACTCAAAACAACTATCAACCAACATCGAAGTCAAAATCCTCAATACAAACGTCAAGACAGTTTTATTGTACAAAGGTGAAACTTGGAGAACTACCACAATTATCAGTAACAATCTAATATGAGAGAGAACAATCCACCCCTTACGTGAAGAGGAAATTAGGGAAAGATGTTGTAGGTGAATAGGACACACATTACAGAAACTATTAAACTTCATCTCGAGGTAAGCGCTAACTTGGAATTCTAAAGGGAAACGGATAAGACCAAGACCAAAAAAACACACTGAGCCAAGAATTGGAAGCAGAGTACGATGGTAAATTCTGATGGGTGGCCGCCTATGCTCCTTCACGAGGGGTGATAGGTGTAAGTAAGAATTCCAATCACTTATGACAATAGTTTGCGATCAGGATGGATCATAAAAATTTGATCAGACATTATCACTAATGAGTTAATTATCAATCTCTTTTTTTCAAAAAAAAGGGGGAGTAAAATAATTAAATATAATCAATGTATAGAAATCTAACAGAAAAAAAAATAGAAAAAAAAACCCCCCTAAAATAGAAAACTAACCATATCAACTAATGCAATATAAATAAACATTCCAGCAGCTAACATAAATATCCATGTATCTAATGAATGCATTCCACCAAGTAAAAAACCAATAATCATACCAGCAGCACATAATATACTGGATAATAAATTATAAAATAAAGCTGATTTTACAGACATTCCAGCATGAAGTAAAACAGCAAAATCACCTAAAAATGAATGATAATAATAATAAATAAAATATTTATTGATTTTTAATAGAATCAATGATAGAAATTCAGTGAACGGATCAATCAGATATAAGATAATAGATTTCGGATTTTGGCGCCAAATTCACTTATCCATTTTGACATTGTAACTGATGTCAGTTCATGATTTAAAAAAAACCTTAAATCTAATTCTTAACCTTAATCACCAACTATAAATCATAATTCCAATCTTCATTTGGTCCTAGATATTAGTAGGTGGACACTCTCAAGGTCAGTGTAGCGTCAGTCAAAGGTCGTTCATAAATTATGGTCTCATCAGAAATTCTAATTAGAACATTTCATCATTGAACTCTATTTGAAAAAGTAAGATGAAAGAAGTGATTTTTCAGTTTTTATTTTCTAAATAAACGATTGTTATACTCACTTCCTTTTTTTAATAGACTTACATATTGAATGTAAAGATCATTTGGGCATAGGTCTACTCTACCTGATGCGTCAAATATATTGGTTTACATTGAATTGTACAAGTTGTCCAAAACAATTGAAAGATTAACTTGAACACACTAGGTCACTTCTCGCATAAATCCTAGATTTGTTGACTATTATACTTTGACCTCTATTAGGCGCTTCAATTGAATCATAAGTACTACAGGTTAACCATCGTTTTATTTACTGATATTAGAGTTGGCCCTTATTTGACACGTATATTTGTATATTTAGGCTTGAGAGGAGTGGGTCTTTGAGTCGCTACCTTATTTAAAGCCCTTTACAATCAATTTCACCGGAAAAGTAAGGATGAGATTGCATAATTTCTTTGTTTACTTTTAAGTTATTATGTCAATGATATCCTGGAAATAGTATTGAAATGAATGTAAGCTGTTATAGATTTTTAACTTTAGTATGTGTTGAACAATTAAATATATGGAATATATTTATTTATCTTTGTGAGCGCCGGTAGAAGTGTCCACGACTAGATCAACATTGTGTTATATCTTAACAAGAACGATTAAAGCATTGGGGTTTTTGACTGGCTTGAGATAAATTATGTTTACGACTGACTGAGGATTATTCTAATATGACACAACGAATAGAAGCTCAGATATACCATATGTCTATCACACATACTAATCGAGAACACGGGACTTTCAGAATAACTATATATTTCATAAAGGCAAATTTGAAAATGAAGATATATGTAGTGTAGGAAGTAAATGAAAGCAGTTATTTAAAAATAATGATAATCGACCACAAAGTTGTCTATTTTGTTGCAGACATAGTGGATTTTATGTGTTTTGTTTCTACACTTTGATCATTGTATTACAATTACGATTATGTCGCGATCCAAATGCTAAGCTAGATACGAGCTATATTAGTATTAAAGTTTATTTAATCCTGCTTAAGCTAAATGTTTGACAGCAATTATTTTTTATTCGTCCAATATCTATAATAACCCCTTATTACATAAGTTCACCCTTGAATCATCATAATCATAAAGCAAACTACCTAAGGGGTTAAGGTTACGGTAACTATTTCAAGAACAACAAGTTCTTAGTTAACACTTCACTTATAATTAAACTTAAAAGTGTCAATATACCAGGTTACATAATTCGATAAACTAGTTACAGTAGGGAGAATAGTACACTGCAAAATATTGAGTAACTGAGCTAAGAATTTAACATAATATATTAGATATAATTATGGGGAAATCAAACCGAAAATTTACGCCGTACTTTTTATAGCTTTAACTTACCTAGTTCATGTGGGAGTTCATGACATAATACAGCTATTGAAGTTGACAGACCACCACGCATATCATTCGCGAATGCAGCGCCAATAGCTATACCATCACAAAAGTTATGTAATCCATCACCAGCAATTATAGTATAAGCAATTGCACGAACAGAACTTAAATCATGACTATGACCATGATGATGCCCATGTGGTTTATCACGATGTGGATGTGTTTGAATTTGTTCCCCGCCACCAATATAATCGAATGACGAATTCGTCCTTAAAATTGCATTACGTTTACCAATTTGTGAAGGAGTATTATTAGCAGGGTTCGCAAGCTCTAATGTAGTATTATTCTAAATACATAATATAAATAAACCACAGATTGTTACATCAATTTACGGAACAAAACTCAATGGAAAAATACAATTATTGTGATATTTTCTACTTATGTTGACAAATATAAGTAGTATGTAACATCAATCAGAGGTGGAATGCCTGGCTACCGAAGATTGGGAAGATAAAATTGAAGAGGACAGGAATATATACAGAGAGTAATTGTGACAACATCTGGAATTAAAGAACGATGACGTTTGTAAGAAACAATCAATCGAAGATGCCCAAATGATGTATTTAATGTATGGTTTTAATATTTTACCAAGACACTAATGTTGCATTAAACAATAAATTGTTCTTTCCCATCTGAGTTCTTGTTCACTACAGTATATCTTCTGGTAGAACGAGACGTCAATACATTAGAGTCCCCGCGCACAAGCAAAGGTATAAAAGCTCTACAACACCTTATCTAGCAAATTTACTATTTAATAAACAGGTTGTTAGGGTTGTCCTAGTCAATAACTTGTATTCTTTAGAATGTTTCTAACTGAAAAATGTTGTACAGATTGAAATCTTAAAATAGGCACTTCATTTAATTTCAGGTAGCTTATCTACTTAACTATTTTATATATGTATGCAGTTATCAGTTTCTTTCACCTTGTTTCCTTTTCCATTGATAACAGTAAGAAATAACTTCATATGTTCTTAAAATATAATGACCTTCTTGTTATTTCAGTGAATTATGGACAAAAGCATCCAGATCCTGTTGTCGAGTCGAGTTCCTTGTCCAGTGTCTCTCCTCCAGATATTCATTATCGCCTGATTCTTCCGGATGAAGTTATCGAGCGGGCGTATCTTTCAGCTTTGCAACTGCAAGCAGTGGTGTACGCCTGTCAACGTCATGAGTGTATCTTACCGAATGGTCAACGTGTTGGGTTTTTAATTGGTACGTTATTTGTTGTTTGCGTGGTATTTATCATACATTTTCGTCGCTTAACAAAACTGTAAGCTGTGGTACTAGTTAACCAAACGTGAATTTATGTACTCATTTTATCCATTGAACTTGGTGCAATGGGTCTCAAATTTTTTAAAGAATTGTTCAATTTTTTTGTGGAGCTATTCTTTTAGGATAACTAACCTTACGAATCGAATCTGCCCGAGTCAAAGGACTAATCTAATGCTACTTTACATATGTTGGTATGTTCGACTCTTTTGGTCGTGAGGTTCTGCGTGTTTGTCATTGAAAGGCGTATCAATGAGGTGCATTGACCCTGTTAAGGCTTTCTACTCGAAGGGTTCTGATTAGGTCAGAGCTCACGACTAACTGGTATCGGAATTGATAATTTCACGTGCCGTTCGTCAGGGTTGTCCACTTTCACCATTCTTATTTAACTTCGTCATAAATATGAGTGAAGCCGATCGTAACGACCGCTCTATTTATCTTGAGATTCTCATTAGTCCAGATGTTCTGGTGTCAGATGAAACCTCAGCACGGATTCAGGAAATCCGATTGAAGTTTGCCTACCAACTAAAAGGTGTGCATAATGCAAAGAAGTCTATTTGGATTCACCTTGCAGCTGTGAAATTTGTTCTACGAAATTGAAAGACCTACTTAGGCTGCAGGGTTTTAGTCATGTATTTTCGAAGCATTTCTTGGGGTACGAGGAACTATCAAGTGAGGAATGCTAATGTTAGGGATAGGATTCTGAGTGAAAATAATAAGTCGATTGGTGAATTTGTCAATGTACATCGACCAAGTGGACGATATTTGCTAAAAACCAATCCAGTTATTTAAAAATTAAATACTGGGAAAACTTTCTGAAAAGGTGTTATGTTGTTGAATCGAACAAGAACCTTCCAAATTACTACAAATTAGTTTAACTAAAAACATCATAATCTCACTTGTTTCACATCAAGCATATCAACTACGGATGCTCCATTATTTATGACAGATGTTTGCTTATTATCATTATTAATATTCTTATTATTATTGTGCACTGATGACTTTCTCAAATCGGATAGTTTTGCATAGTGACCTTCAACAACAACACCACCACCGTTAAAATGTTGTTGATCAATATTTGCTACCGCCTCAATTGTATCTGTTGGCGGCACAATATTGTTGTTGAACGACCAGTGCGGTTGATTAGCACCATCTGAACCACCTAATATAACAAACAAAATATGAAACACCAGTTCAACAAACAAACACAAAATCAGTATCAAACAAATTGCAAAACAGTGAAATATAACCAAATATCACATTAACAGTGCGATAAAACGTGCGAAGAAACTACTTTCATCGGTTCATATAAACAAAGGTAGAATGTAAATAGCAGTGGACGTTTGATGAAAACCACGTCCGGATGATTCCATGATAGCTAACTACTGACTTACTGTCTTCAAGCCTCACGAAACCCTAAATCTATCATTACAAGATCATTATGTACATTATGTACAAAATTAATTCGAATATCCGATAGAAAATTCATTTCACTTTGATCTACTGATCCGTATATTCACTAAAAATATCACATATATTGTGGTGCGTGCTACTTATATTGATATAAGTAGTATATTATGCGAGTCACGAATGTAATGTCTGGCAGCAGAAGATGAGGGAAGATCAAGAAAGCAAGAAAGGGAATAGAATGCAATTTGTATGAAAATGTAAGAACAATGAAGTCTGAGGCATTTTGAGACAATTGGTAGACATTTTACAAATTAACGATTTAATATATAGTTCTCAGATTTTATTGAGATGCTCAGTAATATTGTGTCAAATACATCCTGTTGTCCCCACTCGTGTTCTGTTCACTGCAATATCATCTTAATAAGGTATATCTTCAGTTGTGTTAGTGGTGTGAGATCTGCAGTCACCTGCGGTTGTCCACTCTATGATAAGACACTTCTCGAAAGATCTAACATGGAAACTAGACTACATAATATTAATATAGCTCAAATGGGTCACCATTACACACAAGCCTGATCACCATGTTAAGGTAGAGACTATGCTGTAGGAGCAGGTTGTAAGAAAGCTAAGGGTGTCATCAATCCATAAAGGCACTAACTGTCAGACTAAGTCCTGTTTGTAGATGTAGACTGATTGATTAGGGTTTGCACAATCATTGCTGTTGATAGTTGGAGGATGTATCAGCTCGGGATCAGTCACAATGGCCCAGGTGCATCCATTCTTTCTCTTCCTCCAGATCACGACTGCTAGTGGTCCTTCGTGCATAGCCTTTCAGTTATTGTTATTCTCCTTCTCAAAACATACTCTCAATGTTTAGTTATCATTATCATTGCCATCATGTGATTCCTACTCCTTCGCTAGTCGTATGTTCATTTCGTATCGTCATCCCGGTGTGGTATGGCAACTTTATCGAACAAGCATTCGTATCAAGTTATACACTGATTATTACTGGATGTAGGTTCCATAATAAATAATCAAATTAAATTAACTAATTCACTAGGTACTTGAACACGAGTTACACTCTAATTGTGGAAGCTAATCAAACTACTCAGTTGCCCGAATTGGAGTCAATGGAGTGGTGTTTGAACCGAAGGATTAATGACTGATAGTCGAACGCCCTAACTAATCACTAGGACATCGCTCCCACGTCCCATACAGTAGTTGCAGTTAAACTATCTCGCACTGAAAAATTCATCCGGATTTTATCATTATTCTTTTAAAACTGGAGGTCAAAAGAGCAATTATTTCTGTCTGGCATTTAACACAATTCTTCATTTTAAGCAGCAAAGTATCGTACTTATGCCTTGTCATTTTTATGAGTTGAAAATACTCTATAATTCACTACACATAACTTGGCAAGTAAGGAATCACAAATAATCACATATTATGATTAATCAATATGAGAATTCTAGACAGATGAGGTCAAATATCTTTTTCTTACAGTGTGTGTGTGTGACAGAGTGATTGTACAAAATATGCTCTCTTTAACAAATCCATGACATTAGTAACTACTTAAACTATTTGTTAAATAAATAGGTTATCAGTTAAACTTGCCCCTGAAAGTCGTAACACATCAAATGATTCGGTCACGGCTGGTTGGTTGGTACAATAGGAATTCATATCTGCCCGTTGTGTTCTTGTTCCATTCTAGTCATTAGGCAAAAGAAGGTGGAAAGCTTAATCCTGAATCTATAGGTGTTAAGTATTGATCTCGGTCGTTATCTCATTGCCATTGAACTACTGGCCAAGAATAAATCATTGTGTCATGCAGGAAATCTAGGCGTATTATTCAATAATTGGACTACATAGAACAACTATTCTCAGAATAATAACCCGATCACACGATCCTCAACATAATACAAGTATCCGATTTTCTGCCGCTACATCAGAAACTACTACCATCAGCGTCACGAGCTCAAAATATAGCAAACGTCACAACTGGATGTTTATTTGCAAAAGAAGTTGAGATTCATGAACTAGCGAAGACTGAATATATATAAAAATTACTGACTATGAGACAAGACTTGATGAATTTATGTTTGAATACAAACCTAATTACATTAGTACAAGTAATCTCAAATTCCTTGATGATTACGGACGAATATAGTCTTACAAGAACAACTGCTATTCATCTGTTATACACCATACCTTATCCAAACAACACAAGGGAGAGTCATGTTTTCGTAGTATGAGTTGCATGTTGAAAGAGAAAGCTCACTTTTCCTTAACCCTTGAAGTGAAAAAAGACACGATTATCGCCTATACTACCGGGCGTCCACACTCTGTAACCTAAACCTTGACTCTGAATGATCAATTTGTGATCAGCTACTGCAAACATGACTGCGTACAAGATTTTGCTTATTTCGGAGTACACATATTGATTTTTACTACCGTCTTGCATGTACCAAGCCTATCCTGCTTGACGGTAGCTACTCAACAGATTGTCTTAAACGGGTTGATACAAGTAAATTGACTGTATATTCTATTGCAACTAAAAATCCAACCAAATTACGTTTAAGGATGGCTATTAATTTAGTGAAAATCCTAGGCACCCAATAGCCAAGTTTGTATTATTTCAAAAATATGGTCAGTAAAGTCGCTTGAGGCTCTGCTTAACGTCCTGTTTATGAGTTTTGAGTTTTGCAGGCTTCTTACGACTCATTGAAGTATTCCAATCTAGTTCACATAATCGTGAGTTTGGCGATACAAATATGAAATTTCACGAAGCTTGTATAGGGGATCAATAAGCCTAGTGATGTAAATGTGAATTATTTTGAAGTGGAAACAACTGTGATTCATGTGATCCAAATATACGACAAACACTGATATGGACAAAGAATGTTAATGACTCTACAGAAATACAACAAACACTTTAACGGACACACTCATTTTTAGGTTAATTATAATCACAGTTAGTGAGTAATTGGCAATTGTTACACAGCCCCAAGTGTATGGCAAATGAACGAAGTTCATACTGAATTAATACACAGAATATTATCCGAAAATTAAACAAATAATACACTAAGCAATTATCATACAATATTAAATAAAGGAAATACCATTCAACAAAGTTCACAATCAGTTAAAAACGTAATCTCGCATATTTATTTCGTCTTAATATGTGCACAAAGTGTGCTGATGACTTGAAAGCAGCACATACATTTGGTAATTAACGGAAAATACTCCTACACATTCTGAACACAAGTTACAAGAAGTCTAGTGTCAAAGAAAAACTTTGTGAGGTTGATAGTTAGAGAATTAGTAACCTTCCAAGTTGTCTTGAAAGCTAAGGAGAAGAATTCGAGGGATAAATTAACTTCACTATCAGCATGAATTAGATCGCTCATTAACCTGTGACAATAAAAACGCTTATAGAGGCACGGGTTCTTAAGAAACTCTAGCTTTTAAAGTGTCGCAAACCACCAAGACCAGAAAACCTACAACCGGTTTTCTCTAAGAACGGTAACGAATATGTGGGCAGTGCAATGACTAGATTGTTTGAAAGGATCTGGAAATCTGAGAAATTAACGTTCCCATTTTCAAAAAGGGTATACCTAGTTTCTGCGATATTAATCGATGGTATCTATAATGATACACAGATTGTGCAAAATTCATGAATGAGTTACTAGTTGGGAGTAGGCTGGTATTCATTTAAATCGCGGATGTATTGAACATATATCGTATCAAATAAATAAATAGACCAAGAAGAGTAAAAGTTTACAACCACCTGTCTGTATTATTGCAGTCCAAGAGTGGAGTTAGACAGAGTTGCACAATGTCACTATTCCTTCTCATCATTGTCTGGACTCTCTTTGTGACGAACTGTCAAAATGGTCGAAATATTCATCCATATTAGTAGTTGCGTGAGTACTAGAAACGTTAGTGGCGACCTGGCAGATGGGATCAACCTATGTATGACGAAAGATAGAGAAGCTTACGATAATGTGGGCCATCTCTGGTACCGTCTTGATGTTAGTCTATCTGTAGTCGGTCTTATAACGTGTCCCTAAGTGCACTTTTGTTTTATACTTGTCAAACTCAGACCTTATGAGCTCAGGGTGCACAACGATTCTTTGTGTTAAACAATCGTTGTTTCCGAAGGATTTGTAGAAAATAGCACATTTAAAAAATGTCTGTTTTCGGAAATAATACTCAAGTGATATGAAGTTAACGTTAACAATAAGTAGCTAAAAAATTGTACAACACTCGATAAAGTACAGTGTCACATGAGGGGTGAGTGTATTATATGAAAATGTCATACTTATGCAAAAGAATACATGAATATAGAAAAGACGCGGACAAAAATGGGAACGTTAGCATGCGAATATGAGCAAATTAATGAGCGTACAAAAAATTAACATGTACTATGCTGTGATTGTCTGAACGATAAAATAACACGTTTGTATGAGTGATTCAAATTATCGTGAAAATAGTAATAAATTGTTTGTGGGTATGACAGGGAAATAAATCGTTAAAGTGAGTACAGTAGAATATGACAGAAACTGGTCTGTGATGCTGACAAAATAGTGAAACACGTTAAATATATGTTCTGTTGAGCCGCAGTAGAATAAATAGCATCGACTAGTGATGAGTGAATTCGAATTTAAATGCGTAGTTCCCGTTCGTAGGATGATAATAGGCAAGTCGTGAAATGATATCTGCATCGACGGGTGATATTCGTTGCTGCACTGCAATTCATAATAATCATAAAATTTGAAGTCAGTGAACGTTGTCGTCTGCGTTATGACAGATGCATTGAGTTATCGTTAAATATGTATTAGTAGAAGAATGACCAGAGGAACAGAATAGTGACTTGAGTAGACAAGGTACGTAGAGTCGTATTCCTTTTTGGTCATGAAGCCTATAGTGGTTTGTGTGGTTTGAGGGAGATGCGCTCGATCTCGTTGGTTACAAAACAGTACCAAGGCATGACGAAAATACCAATACATATGATTAGTGATGCCGACGTATGTGACTGACTTGGATGTGACGAACAAGAGTGTATCTTTGAGAGGCTAGCTCTAAACTCTATGTTCTGATATACAGTGCGATGGAAATAGAATAGTAGTTGCAGTACTCGAATAATTTTTTTTTGGCATTTGAATACATATATTTTGTATGTAAAGTGAATGCGATAGAACAAAACGAAATGACGCGCAGGGAGTTGACTTCCCAGCCATCTTCCCTGCGCGTCATTTCGTTTTGTTCTATCGCATTCACTTTACATACAAAATATATGTATTCAAATGCCAAAAAAAAATTATTCGAGTACTGCAACTACTATTCTATTTCCATCGCACTGTATATCAGAACATAGAGTTTAGAGCTAGCCTCTCAAAGATACACTCTTGTTCGTCACATCCAAGTCAGTCACATACGTCGGCATCACTAATCATATGTATTGGTATTTTCGTCATGCCTTGGTACTGTTTTGTAACCAACGAGATCGAGCGCATCTCCCTCGAACCACACAAACCACTATAGGCTTCATGACCAAAAAGGAATACGACTCTACGTACCTTGTCTACTCAAGTCACTATTCTGTTCCTCTGGTCATTCTTCTACTAATACATATTTAACGATAACTCAATGCATCTGTCATAACGCAGACGACAACGTTCACTGACTTCAAATTTTATGATTATTATGAATTGCAGTGCAGCAACGAATATCACCCGTCGATGCAGAAATCATTTCACGACTTGCCTATTATCATCCTATGAACGGGAACTACGCATTTAAATTCGAATTCACTCATCACTAGTCGATGCTATTTATTCTACTGCGGCTCAACAGAACATATATTTAACGTATTTCACTATATCGTCAGCATCACAGACCAATTTCTGTCATATTCTACTGTACTCACTTTAACGATTTATTTCCCTGTCATACCCACAAACAATTTATTACTATTTTCACGATAATTTGAATCACTCATACAAACGTGTTATTTTATCGTTCAGACAGTCATAGCACTAGTACATGTTAATTTTTTGTACGCCCATTAATTTGCTCATATTCGCATGTTAACGTTTCCATTTTTGTCCGCGTCTTTTCTATATTCATGTATTCTTTTGCATAAGTATGACATTTTCATATAATACACTCACCCCTCATGTGACACTGTACTTTATCGAGTGTTGTACAATTTTTTAGCTACTTATTGTTAACGTTAACTTCATATCACTTGAGTATTATTTCCGAAAACAGACATTTTTTAAATGTGCTATTTTCTACAGGGGGGCTATGTAGTGTCAGTTATTATGCCAAGCCCATATACCTTATTCTAGCTTTCGGACATCCCATTCTATTCATTTTACTTGAGCCATATTTTGACCTTGTCAATTATTCGCTTGTCAGTCTTGACTGTTTTTTATATGAGCGTATATGAGTGTACACTTCATGTCCCATGATTCATTGTATGTCTGTAGCTTATTTTGTCTGACTATAAATATGGAGTAACACTTGACTAAAATGGAGTTGGCTTCCCAGCCACCTTCCATACGTGTCAAAATTGCTTTGCTATGTTTCGTTCGCTTCATATTCGAAATATATGTATTCTCAAGTCAATTCTCGTTATTCGACTTATTTAATTCCGTTATTGGATAACGCGATTTAAGTCGACGATGATATACGAGAATCAGCAATAGCAAACATTCATACAATCATTTGTACAATATAAAAGGGAGTCAGATTCTCGGGCCACAAAAGATTGCTTGCATCCACTGCGAACACCATGTTAGTAATGCCAATGTCCAGTTATATGTATCCCAGTGCAATGACGATTATACAGTTGATGTTACCATCTTGAAAAACCGACACCGATGGTTTGGCCATGTTTTATGAATGTCGCTCCAGTGAACTCCACATTGAACATTATTTTCCGATGCTAGGGCGGGGTGAGAACAGAGGCAACGGGGTCAGTTTGTAAATTACTCTATGTCATGAAGGACAGCTTCATAAGAACGGTACCTATCAGTGAACAATCCCTCTCAGTATCATTGAGCCGGCATCTAACGGTATTAATGTCTGACCTCAACCAATCCACGATATTGCGCACTGCTAGAGTCCCTAACTAGGACTTCCAAGTTTTCCATGATGGTCCAGCTGAAATCGTCTGACGAATTCAACCATTAAATTACCACAACCTCCACACCCCCCCCATTGTGATACTGCTAATTATTTTGTGTGGTTTATTTGTGTTCACCAACAACACCAGAATTAATGTTATTTCGAGTACAGATTATGAAACAGAAATCGATAGACACGAACCATAGGTGACTAGGTTAATACGATGCTAATGGATTCATTCGTCAGTTTTTTTTGTAAATTATGAACGTGTTAATACTCTTCAATCATTTTTCCTATTAAACCCAGTATCTTATTGTAATATCCTTAGAAACTCAACTGTTCTTGGTTTATATTGGGTTTTCTAAAATTCAATTTTTGTAATTTTGGTACCAGACTTTATGTATTGTTGCGCATATAACCTCAAGAATTCAAGACAAATTCATTAAGTATAAATTACTCCATAGAAAGTGTTCATTATATAAGCACTTCTTCAAGATTAAAAATAATATACAGGCAAAAAGAGTACTCTTTAAAAATTATTTGAATAAAATTTATTACGTACTTATTTGCTTTTCATTAAGATAATCTACGCAACGACTATTATCCATGGGTCGTTCAGGAGAGCAATTACACATCTGGCTTTCGTTCAATGCAGTACTCTAAAAGAAAAAAACAAATGTTAGAGGGAATTAAAAAGGGAGACCATACACGATGACCAAATGTTAAAGCCCCACTGCCCATTAAAGCAAGTGAATAGGTGTCTACAAATGAATGATAAACATAAAAATGAATTAGACATAAGTAGAAACTGACTACAGTCTTATGTATTGTCTAGTGAATTACGGATGATTAGAAGGTAGCTGATCCGTAGACAATAATTAGGAAAGTACAAATCTACATAAAATAACAAACTTGAGAATAAATTAAAACTTCCGATTCATTCAAGAAAAAAAAACAAACCTAAGAAGCATTCATTTTGTCACAATTCTAACTTTCATATTTTGACTTAATTGCAAACAGACAGATAGATCGAACCATCAAAACAGGTTAAAACGAATAATCAGATAAGGTAAAGAAATAATCGTTTACTATCAACTGAATAGTATTAACGCTAAAAACCTTATCAAGTCTAAGAAAGTAAAAAAGGAAGAAACAAAAACTAGTTTGAAATGAAAGCTACGACGAAAAGCTTGGAGCAATTCATCCAAGTTTCAATTGCACATCCGTCTCGATAACGATTTTCGTATTATGTCGAGGACCGTGTAATCGGGTTATTATTCTGAGAATAGTTGTTCTATCTAGTCCAATTATTGATTAATTCGCCTAGATTTCCTGCATGACCACTAGTTCAATGACAATGAGATATCGACTGAGATCAATACTTAGTGCCTATAGGTTCAGGATTAAGCTTTCCACCTTCTTTTGCCTGATGTCTAGAATGGAACAAGAACACAACAGGCAGATATAAATTCCTATTGTACCAACCAACCAACCAACCAGCCGTGACCGAATCATTTGATGTGTTACGACTTTCAGGGGCAAGTTTAACTGATAACCTATTTATTTAACAAATAGTTTAAGTAGTTACTAATGTCATGGATTTGTTAAAGAGAGCATATTTTGTACAATCACTCTGTCACACACACACACTGTAAGAAAAAGATATTTGACCTCATCTGTCTAGAATTCTCATATTGATTAATCATAATATGTGATTATTTGTGATTCCTTACTTGCCAAGTTATGTGTAGTGAATTATAGAGTATTTTCAACTCATAAAAATGACAAGGCATAAGTACGATACTTTGCTGCTTAAAATGAAGAATTGTGTTAAATGCCAGACAGAAATAATTGCTCTTTTGACCTCCAGTTTTAAAAGAATAATGATAAAATCCGGATGAATTTTTCAGTGCGAGATAGTTTAACTGCAACTACTGTATGGGACGTGGGAGCGATGTCCTAGTGATTAGTTAGGGCGTTCGACTTTCAGTCAATAATCTGATCCCGAGCTGATACTTCCAACTTATTATTATTTGAACACATACATATTGGTACAAGGAGGCACCAAACACCTATGAGCCACAGAAATCTCATTTGAATTATTTGAGGGATGTGATACTGCTCGGGTGCCCAAACCGAAGCATGATCGTGAAAACCCTAATTAATCAGTCTACATCTACGAACATGACTTAGACTGACAGTTAGTGCCTGCATGGATTGATGACACCCTTAGCTTTCTTACAACCTGCTCCTACAGCATAGTCTCTATCTTAACATGGTGATCAGGCTTGTGTGTAATGGTGACCCATTTGAGCTATATTAATATTATGTAGTCTAGTTTCCATGTTAGATCTTTCGAGAAGTGTCTTATCGTAGAGTGGAAAACCGCAGGTGACTACAGATCTCACACCTCTAACACAACTCAAGATATACCTTATTAAGGTGATATAAGTCATATTTTTAGTGAATATACAGATCAGTAGATCAGAGTGAAATGAATTTTCTGTCTGATATTCGAATTACTTTTGTACATAATGTATATAATGATCTTGTGATGATAGATTTAGGGTTTCGTGAGGTTTGAAAACAATAAGTTAGCAGTTAGCTATCATGGAATCATCCGGACGTGGTTTTCATCAAACGTCCACTGCTATTTACATTCTACCTTTGTTTATATGAACCGATGAAAGTTTTTTTTGTGTGTGTGTGGCGCATATATATTGGCGCTCTCTTGTACTGTTAATGTGATATTTGGTTATATTTCGCTGTTTTGCAATTAGTTTGATACTAAATATGTGATATGCATATTTTGGCTGGACACATTACATTAGTTAGGTAGTAGATATTTATCTGAATTTTTTAAAAGGAATATCAAATCCTATTTATACTAGGAAAGTAAGTAGTTCCAGAGCTAAGTTGATACTTGATAACATCTTATATACGACTACTGGAACTCGGAATCTGTTATATTTGAAAAACAAGCATTCCGTTCCGATTGTGTCTTTTGTTTCAGTTCATTAGTTGGTTTACTCTGTTATATTAATTAACATTATAGCTCGAACTCACTTGCTATTTCAGTTATATATTTAACTAATCTGTATAACCTATGCAAACGATCAGTTACATAATATGGTCAATGTAAATGCATTTCAGAATTCTCATACCATTTTAACTTTTATCTACCTTTCAAATCGTCAAATTATTGTAATCTATAACGTGCATAGTAATCATAAATAAAAACAATTTGCAACCCATTTATTCGTTTTTACAATAATCTCACATACTATTGCTGAGCCTATGAATCGATAGGGTATATTTATATATATACTAATTATGTACAATTAAACCAATTCAATAGGACTGTATTTTTTGTCACGTATTCTAATGAATATATAAAAGATTTATATTAGAGGATATGAATAAATTAGTCGAACAAAGAAAATTACTTAAATAGTTAAAATTATGAGTCAATTGGAGCTAAACCACCATGAAAAACCTGGAAGCACTGGATGACCGTTTCGTCCTACTGTGGGACTCCTCAGCAGTGCGCATCAACAATCCCGTATCCTCGCGAAATTCGAACCCAGGACCTATCAGACTCGAGCGCGAGCGCTTATACAAATTCAAAATCAATCATTTCCATTTAGAAAAAAAACAAGAAAAGGAATATCATTCTAAAATGTTGGTATGATATGATGTAGAAATAATAATTTCTTGAATTTACACGAACGCTCGACAATGAACTTAGTGACTGAACTGATATCTAAACCTCATTAACCGATATATCTCAAATCACGAATGAGGTGGTGACCTAAATCTGTTATCTTTAAAAAACTTTTATTTATCTCATAGAACATGAGTTTAACAACAATAAATAGACAACGGGAACTAATCAGGAAAGCCTAAAATGTTTATATCCGTTTTTCTTATTGATCTATAACTTCATCATGAACTATTCAAATACAAAATTGAAATAATTTGAAAACGTCATTCATTTTTACTAAACAGTATTTGCTTGTGCACAAAAGTGTGAGCAACCGCAGGTGACTACAAGCATCATACCACCAACGCAAGTTGAGATCTATCTTATTAAGCCTATACAAGTCATATTTTTAGTGAATATATACAAATCAGTAGCTCAAAGTTCGACTTCAAAACAGCTTTGTCAAACATAAAGTCTAAAACTAACTCAAGTTCAAATCAGAAAACCAGGTAAATGAATACGCCCCCAAATGCCCTGGTATGGCCGAGAGTGGGGTTTTCCCTCCCTCCATCTTGAAATGCTCTCACACGGCCACGCGTATACAACCTCTGCCAAGGAAATCTTACTCACTGCCTACTTGTAGCCGGGGTGTTGTTTACGAAATTGAGAGGACGAAAAGCGAATGTCCGGCGCTTTTAACCGGATCCCAAACCAATGGTGCACATGGGCTCCAGTATCCTCAGGGAACGAATGGCCTATGAGACAAGTGTTGGTCACCGGCTACCATGGGACTGCATCTTCTCACAATGCTCCACTGCCTTGTGGGTCAGACCTTTAGGTCAAAGGCTCGGGGTGGGGCCTCCTAAGAAAACCACCTGCCTCGGTCTGGGCACCCGAGCAGCATCACAGCCCACACACAAATAGAATGAAATGACGATGTATATATATATATATATATATATATATATATATATATATATATATATATTTGTGTGGTAAATGAATACACTTACATGTTGACGTTTCAACTTCCGTCTAGACATTTTATTTTGGCAGATGATGGTAAGCCGCTCAGTTAAGAAAAATATATAAATGCCTAGTAGAGCTATGAGTGCCTCCAAAATCATTTTCCGGTGCGAGCTGAGTTTTGTTGATGATATAGATTCGTGGTGATGTTCGTCAGTATGTTCATGAACAATATTAGTTTCGTGATCATGGTTGTGATGGATGTGTCCAGCACCAGAAAAAGCCTGAAAAAAAGAAAATTATAATCTCAATAGATGTTGTCGTCCAATGAGAAAAAACAAGCGATAACCTGTCGATACTACAGTATTACCTGGTGTCAGTAATAGAAATTAATTACTAGCTAGTTCATACTTCAAGTGATGTAAACTATTCACCAGCTGATCATTAACTCAAAAACATAAAATGAACTCATCAATAAACCTCATGAACTATAAGCATATACAAAATTGCTTCTTAAGTGATCAGTCACATCAAAATGCTTTAAATAATAGTGAATCCATCCTACGAGATTATAGGATACAACCGACTGATAGCTGCTTCTATATATGAAAACCTACTGAGAAAAACTAAGAGCACACAAAGTCGAATGACTGGTAATTAGAGAGACTAAATAATGGACCACTAAAACTCCATATACTTCGAAATAAAAGGTCACTATATACCCAATGAACCTAGTTTACTAGAAGACTGAGTCAAATTTATACCCCTCAATTTAAAACTTTAAACTTTGTTTTGGCCTATACATTTGCTAGTGATGAATGGACAGAAATACACATATCTAGTGACTCGTTTTTCATTTCTAAGCTTGTTGTTTACATAACAGTATTTAACATTTTAATGAAGATACTAATTATTGTGACACGAGATACACTTATTACTAAAATGAGCCTTGAATATATCTGTCTGCACGAAACCTAAACACATACTGTGACTAGATTACTTTAATACAACTATTTTCTTGTTCGTAACTTTAGATTCTTTTGACAAATAATGATTGATGCCTTTGTAAACTACATAGATTTAAACTATAACTTTACAGCGTATTTAGCCACTACGTTAGTTCTTGTACCAGTCAGATCGCTCATTGAAACAAGCAAATATTCACAAATTCCCAATTTATGTTACTTATAATTATCTATCAGTTTACATGCACTGGAAGAAAACCAAAGAGAGTTATTGTCAACATCTCAGAGCTTTCCACAAAAACAGAAGGACATATCCTTATGAGTGAGATTACTCGTCATTCGACTGACAGTGGATGTGATGGTGTTTCATAATTCTTTAGGATTACCAGTAAACCAGACTTGGATTTTATTATGACTTGTTGAACTTGTTGTTACAAAAAAATTTAATCCAAATCTCGGCATCCAAACACACAGTTACCAGTATTATGTTGTCCTGATGATCTTATTTGAGTGAACCTTTACGTGATATTTCTTCCATGGCCCAAATCACAGTTCCTTACTTCTCATCTACGCTGTACTCAGTCAATTTCCTTAAGTACTGCATAAACTATGACGTAAACTTCGATTTCTAAAAACCTTGTTTCTATGTTATTCTTAGTGTCGTCTTTTAGAATACTCATGTATTTAACCTACAAATACACAAATCTTTGAACAATCATTCGGACATGAAGTATACATATTGTTTCTAGGATGTAAACAGAGGGAGAAAATCTATGAAATGAATGTTATGTCCTGATACAACCGTTCTCTTTAATTTATTGAAACAATTGGAGTTATTCATCAAGTATCTTCCTGATATTCTAAAAAGCATTCTGAAAAACAATTAGAGAATGGGAAACGTCTAAAACTGTATTATTTTACGCGTTTTCTGGATGACGTAAGGTTTGATTGTTAAAATCATTGGATAGAATGCTGATCGATAGACGAACGCGATGATATAATGTGGCTGAATGATGGCTACTCACGAGACCGTATAATTAACTTAAGTTCTCGAATGATTACAGATCAAGGAGAAGACCATTAGCCGGATAAATGGTTCTCCATGTAATAAATAAAACGATTATATTCGAAATATAGGCACGAAATAAACATGATAAAATGTCATAGGTGATTGGAGGAAATTAATTTGTAGGTCATTAGTTCTCCAATCAATTAAGACTTGACTTTAAAGCCTACACTTTGAGTATCGTATCAAACTGACAGTCTTACAATCCAGGGAGCCGAGTCTGTGTGCCCGAATACTACAGTTGATAAATAGTGATATAATCGAAGGAGCAGGACGATAAAAGTGTCGTTTCATTGTAAATGAAAACTTCAGTCGAAATGTACATAAACTCACTTATAAAGACATAAATACAATATATCATAAGAGTCTAGAAGCTCAGCATACGTAAACGTTTTATCAAACAAAGCTGTTGAAATTTTTTTGTTATTATATTAAACACGCTTACATGAGGTATTAAGTGAAGAAAGGCGTCACCAGCAAGTGACCCAACTGCAAGCGCTATAAGGAATTGAGTTACAACATTGTAAAAACTTCGGGACATTAGAGGTACCAAACATACAACAATAAGTCCTGAAAAGCTCACCAAAAGCACAGCACCGATTGCAGCTAGAAAGGCTAAAAAATAAGGTTATTAAAAACTAATGAGCCAAAGAACTCACGTAAATACGAAGTAAACAAATTCCCACATTTACGATACAAAACATAAATGTGTATGATATGTTGAAAAATATATCATTTTATAATCCTCATATGTCTACACATATTGAACTTGTAAGCAAGTTAATACACAAAAACGAATTCAATAAAAGCAGAATAACAGATCTGAGGGAAAACAAGAAACAACAACATATTCTGTTCTTAAAGATCCATTACTTTGGCCCAGGATTCAAAATACATACATAAACGGATAAGCATTCCTGAGGTTTAAGAGGTTTAGAACGGATAACAGAAATTATCGACATATATTCTAAAATCTCAGTTAACGTATGATATGCCGCAAATATCTGAAATCGCTGAAAAACCCGACAATTAGAACGAGAGGGCATCATCATATTGAAGTCGAAGGTACGTAATATGAGGTCTAACGGAAAGCTAAGTATGAGGAATATAGTCGAAACAGAAGGGGGATTCCAGATATATGAGCACGAAATAATGCCAAACTCAAGATTAAGAGAAAGACAGATAATGAATGCAATCATATTTATTTGAACATATAAATATTGGTACAAAGGGACACCGAGCCACACAAGTCACTTGATTTGTGTGTGCTGCGATACTACCCGGGTTCCCAGGCCGAAGCGATTGGTTTTCTTAGGGGGTCACGTCCGGAGTCTTTGACGTAAAGGTCCAATGCACAAGGCATTGGAGCAACGTCAGGAGATGCAGTTCCATGTTAGCCGGTGGTCAATAATTGGTTCGTACGACATTTTTTCCTTAAGAATACGAGAGCCCATGTACACCATTGGTTTGGAATCAGGGTTTCCCAACTTCCCTGAATGGATCCTCCATATCTACCAACCCAATTAAAGCACAGGACATTCTCAATTTCGCAAACAACACCCCGCCACGAGGCCACGAGTAGGACTTCCTTGGGAGTGGTTGTATACGCATGGCCATGTGAGAACATTTTGAGAAAGAAAGCTGACTCTCCCCACCGTCGGCCGTACCAGGGCATTTGAGGGTTGAAGAGATATGAATTCGTGAGAAATGTGCCAAGAAGAGAAAAAAGAACGAGGATTTAAATCTTGGTAATAAATGAACACAAATGTGTCGCCGAAATGAAATTCGATTTATCAAATAACGTTTGCAGCCGTATATTAGGGCTACTGAACAAGCCCAAACTAAAAAGCTCACATATACTAACAGTTGAGAGCAGTTGATGTCTTTAGGGGGTGATAATATATCCTCAATCGCACGTTGCTACCGGCTGGCTAACCTACTTCTACGACAGTCAGCAGTGGACTGAACATGCATTACATGTGTCGAAACCACCTGAGTCGATAAAGGTCTGTAGCCTGAACAGTTGACTTAGCATTGTTAATTGATACTCCACAACGAGTCCCAACATTACTCATGACATGATAGTACGTTATGTGACTAATGTCTAGAAGGCACCTATGATAAGATACTTCCAGTCCACACATAGATCCTACTTTTGTAGACAACTCGATGGTAATAAATACTGAGCACACAGTATACTTGTAGCTTGGTTGGTAGACGGGCAAGATTTAAGTTGACAAAATCAGGAATTTTCAATTTCATGGTACAATATCAAAATAACGGTTATCATCTGTATAAATTTCAATTTATAAATACTAATTTCGTGACTGAAGAGATGAATACATGAGAAATATACCAAAACGAGAAAAAGAGAACGTGGAAAAGACGGGGATTTAAAATCGTGGTATAAATTTATTTTGAATTAAGATCGACTTACCTTTCCAACTGAACTCGTGCGTTGAAGGAACTACTTCGTGTACATGATTGTGCTTACAAACTCCAGTTTTTAACTCATAAACGATAGTCGGCAACAACGCATGAAAATCCGTTTGGTTTAGATGTGAGTGATTGGGAGAAAATAAATCGAACATTTCACTTGCCGTGAAACACTAAATAGTACAGATGTAAAGGTAACATGTTACTAGCAGTAGGTGAGAACTACTAAACAACTTGTAGAATTGAAAAAATCGAGGCACACCTTAGTTCCGCTGAAAATTAAGTTTATAGAAGCAAAGAACAGTTTGGCATTCAGTAAGCCATAAGATCATATCCTACAGCTTAGCTAAATCCACATTATCTAGAGTACAATGAAGTTTATTTAAACAGCGCTTAGTGAGAGAAAAATTAACACACCACTGGATGACAAATCGTATATCATTAAACCTGAAATACATAAGGAAAACCATAAACGTTCTGACCACATGTACATATTCAAATCAGGAAACCAAGATAGCGAGACCTAGCTATACTCAGAAAGACCTATCATATCCAGGTAGACTAGGTGTGATAGAGCAAACCATCTGGCTTTTATTCGGGACTGAAAATGGATTTTAAAATCTCTGAATGTTACGATACACACAGTAAGCGATGGATAAGAAATCTATTGGAACGAAAGTGATCGGAAAACGAAAATAACGTTTCCACTGTTAGTCTCTATAGCAGTAAACAATCTTCGGACAAGAACCAATAAGACTGAATTCACTTTACACCATAAACAGCCACACCTTACACATGGTTTAAGCATAAGAAATTCTTTTTGGAAATTAATATAACACAATAAAACAAAACGTTTTCATCACACGGGAAAGTGGAAACTTCTGCACAGGGAAGTAATTCATTGTTTGTGAAGTCTATTACATGATGTACATGACGATAGTTCCAAGATCCTGCAAACGGAAGAATCATACATAGATTTGAAGAGCGAGTGTATCTTGATGTAGCACAACAATGTAAAACTGTATATGCACGAAGAGAGGAGAACATTCAAAGAATGAGCTGCATCAACAAACAAAGATAAGGGGAACGACGACGAACGGTAGGAAAGTGACGTGCAAAACACTTAGATAATGGCAAAAACACTACGCAATCTAAAATGAAGTTATACATAGAAAACGTTGATGCATAAAGCATCGCGATTTTCCCCAAACCTATGAAAATTTTGGGGGCTTTGTGCCTTTTCTCAAAAACTTCATCAAAGTTTTCTACTGCGGCTTCCCAAAATTTACCCAAAACGGACAAAATCTTCCCCAAAATAGGGAGATTTTGAGCAAAATGTTTGGTAAGTGTTCTTCAGGAAACGTATTTACCAGGATCGAGCTGACGAATTGGCAAGTTATGTCTGTCAATATCAGTTCATGAAAATGCACGAGATATCCCGTAAGTGATGTCATCTATGACTAACCTTGTCTTCTTTGGAATCGTTCTCATGGGGAGATTCTTCGTACAGATGCAAGGACCTCAGGAAATTCGCGAGCATTTCTTTGTCCATATACTCGCTATCATTTGTAAGTGATGCAAACAACACACTTGAGTGTTTATTTAACGTAGCATCATGATCATGACAGTGGGCACACGGAATACGATACTCAAATAGAGTGTATATAGCTAAGCATATGCATAAGTTTTGGTGAATACGACGGCAAAATCCCACACCACACATCAATACTATGCACAAATTAAAAACGGGCTGTAGCTGGTAATTGTAGAGTAGGAACCCAGAAAGTTAACTCCTAGCACGGAAACAGTACAACCTATGCGCCAGAGCTGGTCCCAAAATTTGATTGCACTACTTGAACATTAGGTACATTAAACAAAATTGAGTCCAATATCAAGTGATTTTGTGACAATATTATATAGGCCGATAGATTCCTTTTTGATCGCTTCTTGTTGTTTCGGTACGATTCCGGACTATTGATAGTCTAATGACTACACTAGTTCTAGACATTTTGGTAGTTATTTGTGGGTTTATTTATTTTGTAACCTTAGTGGATGCGTTTGTCTCAGGGCAGTAGGGTTTCCAGAGCTGGCGAGTATTGAATTACCATACAAGATGCCGGTTTGTTGCAATGTGAAAAATAATATCGTGAAGACCCAAATACTCAGTAGCCCAGTGTAGACGATTTTTTGAAGAAATAAATAAAGTTTAGTAAATGGTAATCCTGACGGTATGAGATGGCCGAATTTCAAGAAAAAAGACAGAAGCGATAACAGACTAGAAAGGAATAAGTTAGTAGAGTGTAATTATTACAGTTAATACGTCGCGCTACGTGTTTCTGGTCCAGAATGCCCGAGAGCGATATTGCAATACATGGGTCAATGCTTATTTGTCAAGTCTCCTCACATGCTATCCACCGATGTGGATGTGGTCACTTCAGCTGGGATAGAATTTCAGATAGGGGAAACACGTGCTGAGGACATGTGGGTGCGTACCTGGGTTTGCGCTCTTTGATGTACAATTTCCAAGTGGCTGAGTCGAGGAGCATGTCCTGGTCGGATGTTCATGTTAGGGCAACTTGACGAATTACGTGTGGTAGACGTCACTATCAGATCACTTATCCTTCCACAGGTCAGCGCGCATAGTCTCAGATGTCTGGATCTATATTCGTAAGATTTCCTCCCTAGTTCTATCATCCACTTCTTTGCCCATCTATGTTATTGGTTTTCGTGATTTATGTCTCTTTCAAAGAATAGGGTCGCAACGACATTGTGGAATTTAAGGTGGACCTCCATATCTTTGCATTGTCTGAGTAACTTAGTACCGCAGAACTTATTTTTTCTTAAATGTCATCAATGATGATTGCTTAGAGTAGTGGACATGACGTATTCTCTTTTGAATCTCCTGGTATTGAAACCCAAAAGGTTGTGTGCACTCATTATACCTTGGTACTAAACATCCTGTTCCTTGGTAAGTTTCGGAGCCAAGATAGGAGTGGGTCTGAGAAACTTATATCTACGACCTAATCTATGAGGAGTGCTTGGGACACAATATCAAACGCTTTCGAGAAGTCAACGAATAGTAAATGGCCTGGTATCGTTTAACCCAACATTCTATAAGTAGAATGGATGCACAAGACCTGACCTTTCTAAATCCGTTCTGAACTCATTGAGGACGTTACGTTTGCCCATGTATCCACTCATTTGGTCGTTGGCTAGTTCTTCCACTAGCTTCGTTATTGTAGACGAATAGAGAAAGGGTATTCTGTTTCTATTATTCTGAAAGCTGTTGTGAGGTGTGGGAGCACTAAAGTCTCCGTTCTCTAATGCCTGAATTTTATGAGGTTGCCTTTAGGTAAGTGACAGTGGTATTCTGATAATGTCTATACCGAGGTTCCTTGGCGTACCTAGTGTCTCGCATATCCACACAGAATGCCTAATGCCTTCGCAAGTCTCAGAGAGAATAAACGCAAAAACTGGGATTCTCCAGATGAACAAACCCTGGAACAGCTAAATACTGGCTCGAAGTCACTAATAATTACCAATAACTCATGACCCTAAAACTACTAAAGTCTGACTCACAACTCTAATATACTGACCTTAGTAGCTCATCCCACAAGAAAACTAACATGAAATGCTATCGCAAAACGAAATTTCATGAAAACAGTAAGCAACAGCAACAAGCTGTCCTCAAAAGCGTTTTCAACTCGCGCTGGCAGTTCAAGCTACGAATAAAGTGGCCTCAGTATGTGAAACCCATCTTCTTGAGCTTCACCGTGAAAAGTGAGTCTCGTTACGTGTTAAAAGCTTACATGGTGTCTGTGGATATAAATCAGACCAGTATCGTTCGGTCCCAGCTGTTACTCAGATTCTCTGTCCTATAGGAAGATTGGACACGCAGAACTTTTCGTTCCTAAAACTACTTAAGGCTTCGTGGTGAACATTGTTTTCGTCCATCCATTCCCTTGTTCAATCATTAACCAGTTTCTTCAATAGTATTGAGAGTAATGTGACTGATCGACAGCAAGCTGCTACTTTCCTATCTGTTGCTTTGAGGATTTGAGAGACAGTAGACTGTTTCTAATATTTTGGACGTTGCTGTGACTCTAGCGAGTGCCAGAATTTCAGGGAAGATGTTGTCATATCCTGATGACTATCCTGAGCTCATGCACTTTAGTTTTGCAAGTGCTTACCTGGGAGTTGGATGGAAATTCCTTACAGCACCAACTCTCACCAGAGTTGGGGAGTGTTCCACTTTTGTGTGATTCTGATTGAAGTGATTGGTGAGGTTGAGAGTTAAGATTTCAGCCATCTCTGTGTTGGTAAGATCTCCACCGTTAGGCACTTCGATGGAGCCAATCCACCCGTTTTGTAGGCTTTTATTTAAACAACAACCTATAGAGATGTTTTGGGTTGGCTTTTGCTTTAACTGGTCACTTGGTTTGTATATATTTTAAATTGCCTCGAAAAATTATGTCACGTTCATTTCTCAATAACAGGTAGGGGTTGTGATCAAAATCCATAAGGCAGTTTTCCATTTATGCTAGGCTCTCCTTTTAACACATATCAAGAGTCCTGTGCCTCGTTTCAGCCAAGATCTTCACATTTCAGGTGTTCGCTGTGCTTAAGATGCTTTGATAATGACAGACTCCCGAATAGTATCCCTCCCTGTCCCCAGTGGTCATCAGGTGTTAGTTTCCAACACTCGTGGCTATGGAGCGGTTGAACGTGATCCCTCATGATCGTGTAGCCTTTCAGGTTGTGGCAAATGTAGAGAGCGTCCTCGCCCCTCCGGAGAACCTCGTTTGCGATCTTGTGGATTGTGACGTCGTCATATCACTAACACTGGTCAGCCCCGGGATGTGGACATCCTCGATTGAAAGTTTGTCATTTGATGGCACACGACTTAGTCTAGAATGATTCTTGTCCTTCCTCATCTCGTGCTGTCACACCCATATGCAGGTAGACTGGATACTCGTTCTGACCTCGCCGGTTAAAAATGGCAAGCCTAGAGCCTCGAAATATGAAACATTATATTCAATCCCACTGTTATCGACCAAGAAATCATGCAGAAAATTCCTGAATGCAAATAATTGCTTCCAAGTTTGAAATTAACTGAAAACAAAACCAAATAGGAAGTCAGCATCTTTGATATCTGTTGTCGCACCAAATTTTCGATCGATGTGTATAGTATTCAAGCACCATATCATTCGAATTGCCAGCCAATCATCCATTGAATCACTCGACTGCAGTATCAGACTATACACTGGTATGGGGTGCAATGTATGGTATAAAAGTCCCAGCTTCTTTCGGAAACGTACTCTAGTAGCTATGAAAACATTAATGCCAATAGGTAGGAGACCATAAATGCATATGGTATAATTGTGTAATTATGAATAAAAGGCAACATAATGTACAATTAAACCATCATTTCATAAAAATATCACAACTGTATTCACGTGAAATCCTGTTTTCAAGCTACTGTCTGTTCTTAAAGACTAAAATCCGTCCCGGATTGATCCATCAATCCAAAATATCATGCAACACATACGAAACTATCATTTATTCCTCTACTTCAAAGACCGACGATCGTTAGTGTATGAATGAGTTGGAAAAAACCAAAAAATGGACAAATAAAATACTGGCATTATTTCCTTAACATGGGAACCATAAACGTCTGGATAATATGAATGCGTTCGACCAGCTGACTTGACACTGAAGCTGATAGTTTAACTACCAATCTATTACTGCTTCGCTTTGCCAGTGGAAACACCAAAAAATACCTAAAAAAATAGACACTTTAAGGTTAGAGTTAATTTCACTTTATCTCAGGCTATGGAATGTCCTAGTGGGGTCCCCCAGGGCTCAGTACTAGAGCCTCTTCTGTTCTTGATCTACATAAATGATCTTCCTCAACAGGTAACGTCAGACTTATTACTTTTTGCCGACGACGTGAAACTTTGGAGAGAGATACACAACCAAGACGATATACAGGCACTTCAGGAGGATCTGACGCGACTTCAAAGTTGGGCAGACGATAACGGACTTACCTTTAACACTTCAAAGTGTAAAGTAGTCCATCTGCGACATGTCGCAAACTACAGTTACAACTTAGGAAACTCCTCTCTAGTAGTATCCCAAGTCGAAAAAGATTTAGGAGTCCTGGTGCCCCATGACTTAAAGTCTTACGCTAACTGTGACAAAAATGCCTTCCGAGCAAACCTTGCACTGGTAACGTTGAAGCGCATTTTTGGACAGTTTGACGGACGAACTTTCCATACAATCTTCAATAGTTTCATCCGTCCCCATTTAGAGTACGGAAACATAGTACTCCCCCCCTCACTCCAAAAGGACAAGGTCACTTTGGAGCGTATCCAACGGCGAGCCACGAAATCAGTTCGAGGACTCAAATCTAAGCCTTACGAAGAACGCCTCCGTTCACTAGACCTTTACCCACTAGAATATAGGCGTCTTAGAGGTGATTTATTAATGGCTTATAGTATTCTTAACACTTCTGGACATCCTCTTAAACACCTACTTAAGCTTAGTTCGAATAATAACCTAAGGGGTAACACCCAGAAACTGGAAACACAACATAGCAAGACGGAATGTAGACACAACTTCTACTCCTTAAGAGTTGTCAAAAGCTGGAATTCGCTGCCGGCCGAGCTAGTCCAAGCGACTTCTCAGGAGTCCTTCAAGAGGCAACTTGACCTATTCTTAAGGACCAAGGACAGCATCACATTATGATTTACCAATTTCTTTTCCTTTTTTATTGTTAACATACCTAGGTTCCTGCCTGGAGGATTTGGTGATCCCCTGCTACTAGACACGGAAGCCTGTTAAGCG